GCTTGCCTCTTGGCTCAGTGTAAGTGAGCAGTATCTTCCCCTTGACTCGATTTGAGCAACCATTTTGGGGAGAAATGTAATTTTATCCCTGTGATAACCAATAAATCCTTCACCTAAAAAAAAAAAAAGAGAGAGAGAGAGAACTGAAGAGTCAAACTGAGACTCTGGAAAACACTTTTGTCAAACTTTTAACATCTGCCAATACGCAAACAGGAAGCTTTGCAATGATAATTGTCACTTGCGCTTATTACTGTGCAGTGATACTAAAGGAGGGGGAGAGAGCTTGCTTTCTGCTGGAATTTGGTTAAAAGAAAATCAACACTGGGAGAGAGTACAGATGAATAGAGGAGGAGCCACATGTAGAGCTACTCAGAGAAAATCAAATAAAAACACGGCAATTGGAAGAGAGTGATGAACATACATCCTAAAGTCAAAATAAACCTGAAATAACAGATTTAAAAATGAAAGAAAACATAGACATAGACCTTAATAAAATGGCAATCCAGCCTATAGGGCTGCTAGTGGGTCACTCAGACTTGAGTGACCACAATACTAGGCAGCTTAAGAGAAGAAAAGAAAAAAATGGATAGATTAAAATAGTGCAGCTAAGGGCTGGCCTGATAGCTCAGCAGACTAAAGCACTGGCTTAGGCAGGCACAGGGACCGGGGTTTGATCCCCTGGGCCTGTCATGCAGGCCCTGCCCCTGGGGTGCTCTGAGATGGAGACTGAGACTATACATGCCTGTAATCCCAGCACTTGGGAGGTTAAAACCAAGAGGATCACTGACGAGTGTAGTGAGGCAATGTAGACCTTGGACTAAATACATTTAAAAAAAAAACCAAATTAAAAATAGTGTAACTAAACCAAGCCATATAGGATAGATTTGGGATATAAGGTTCTCTGCTTCTTTCTGTCAGCATACACAGGATCAAGTGAACTACTCCTTCCTGGATGAGTGGAAAGCTTTTTTCCCCTGCCCTCCCCTCCCCTTCCCTCCCCTCCCTCCCTTCCCCCTCCCCTTTCCCTCTCCCTCCTCTCTTTCCCCTCCCTTACCTCCCTCCCCTTCCCTCTCCTCCCCTCTCTTTTCCTGCACTGCAGTGTTAACTGGAACCTATAGGGACAAGAGTAGACACTGCCCAGCAAGTAGTGAATAGAACAGTACACTACACCTGCCCCTTGACCAGTGGTTTTCCACATGTTGATGACTAAAACTAGACTCATGTCTATCACCACGCACTAAACTAATATCAAAATGGATTAGGGCCAGAGTTTGATCCCCAGTACCACGTACTGCACTGGCCTCACCCCTGGGTGTGCAGAGCTGGCCACTGAGTCTGTGCAGGGTGGTGCACACCTGTAATCCCAGTGCTGGGAAGGCTCAAAATGGGAGGATCACTATGAGTTTAAGCTGTGTAGTGAGACCCTGTACCAAATACATTTAAAAAAATTAAATATTAAAGCAGAAACCATAATTTGCTAGGTGAGAAAATAGATACAACTCATAAAGACATAGGTACAGGCAAAGATTTCAAGAACAAAACCACATTAAATGGGAAATATTACAAAAATATTAACCACTGGTACCTCATCTTACTTTTCCATAACAAAAGAAATCATCAAATGAAAAGACAACCCACAGATTGGGGAAAAAAATTATCCACTTGCTCCTCAGATAAAAGACTAATATCTAGAATGTATAAAGAACTGAAAAAAACTAGACTTCCCAGATTGAAGACCCAATCAAAAAATGGGCATCTGAGATGAACACACATTTCTCAGAGGAAGAAGTACAAACAACAAATAAATATATGAAAAAATGATCAATTATCATTGGTCATTCAAAAGATGCGAATGAAAACAATACTGAGATTCCATGGCTTTTCAGAAAGAATGGCTATCATGAAAAAAATCAACCAGTAACAAATGCTGGAGTGGTTGTGTGGAAAAAGGAACCCTTCTCCACTATTGGTGGGAGTGTAGACTGGGACAGCCAACATGGAAATCAGTGTGGAGACTCTTAAAAAGTCTAGGACTAGAAGTCTCATTTAATCTGGCTATTTCTCTTTTTGGCATCTTCCCAAAACATTTAAAAGCATCACACTACAGTGATATATGCTGTGGTGGTTGATAAATTATGTCAACTTGACAGGTTGCAAGCTTGGCTGGATTCCCTAGGCCTTCCATGCCCTGGGGCATGAGAGCCTGCCCTAGGGTCAGGAGGGCCTACCCTAGAGTGACTCAGTACAAAAAGGGTATCTAAAGGGGTTGAGGAAGGCTTCTGCATGCCCCAATCACTTGAGGGAGTTCCAGTCTTCCCAGCACTACCTCCTCAGAGGAGCTTGATCAACGCAGGCTCACCATTCAGGAGGAGTTTGTTCTTCATCGTAGCCCACTACTACTTCCTCAGAGGAACTTCAGTCTTTGCACTTGGTGTGGAAGGAAGAAAGGCTTGACAGATGCCACAGCTGCTGCTCCTCCTCTGCTCTTCATTGTTTTCTGTTGCCATGAGCTACTGCCCTCTTCCACGTGCCACTCTGCTTGGAACTCTCGGAGTATGGACTGAAACTTCCACTAACTGTGAGCTAAATAAACCTTTCCTTTCTTCATTTTGGCTGTCAGGTATTTTGTCCCAGCAACAAGAGAAAAGTAACTGAGATATATGTGCATCCACATTAGTACTGCGTAGTTTGTAGTAGCTAAAACTTGGGGAAAATAACCCAAATGCCCATCAACTGAGGAATATGCATAAAGATTTTTAAAAAAATATAATAGAGTATTACCTGGCAATAAAGAAGGATAGGGTTGAGACATTTATTGCTAACTGGATGAATCTTGAGACCCTGCTCTTAAATAAAATAAATCAGACACATGTGTATATTACACCGTCTCTCTGGTGTGAAAAACTGAAAATATAAAAACCAAATTGTACCTAGATCCTGTGAAATAAGAAGAAATTATTAAAAAGAGAAAGAGAACTAGGGAGGGGGAGGGAATAAGAAGAAAGGGGAAAAAAGAGAAAAGCAGGATAAAATGAAAACAATGTTTTGTAAATAAGGAGGGGAAGAGTGATTGAAGGGAGTGGAGGGATATGGCAGGGGAAAAAAGACAAATCAAATTGTATCATGTACAGGTACAGACTCCTTATGATGAATGTGATTATTGTATATACTGAAATTGCACAAATAAACTTAATTAAACTAATAACAATAAAATTGATATCAAAAGCATCAGATGTTTCTTTCAATAGATCTTTCTCAAAGGGGAAGGAGATGAATAGGAAGGAGGGAGGAGAGAAGAGGGATAAAAAAGGAATTAAGATGTGTTATGTGTTATGTACCAGCTCCACACAAGGAAAGTAG